GTACCAATTCATCTTTGGTGCTTCCTCTTTCCTGCTTTTTGGATGACAAGTCACCTTATTTCTTAGTGTAGTTTACTTCATTTGAATTGTATTGAAAATTCTAGAGTTTCTTTATCTACTGATAGCTAAAAAAGCAATATTTCCATTTCCAATGTTTTTATACAATATTACAGAAAATTTTCTCTGGATTAATATTTTCTTTTCTTTTACTTATTTTTTCTCTTAACAAAATTGAGTTCACAGTTAAAAACTTTTTTAAAAAATTGAAACATCATTGATTACATATATTTATGAAGTACAGTGTTGAGTAACAATACCTATGTACAATCTGTGATGACCAAACCAAAATAATTAGCATATTCATCATTACATATCATAAGCATTCTTTGTGTGGATAAATGACATTTTAAATCCTACAACTTAATGTTTCTTACACACTGAAGGAGCTCAAATTATTAGTTGATTAATAATGAGTAATAAACATGTCAATGCACGTAAATAATGTGAATAGTACCTGTCACTGAGTAAGTACTTAATCAATGTTAACCATGCTAACAACATTGTTGTGTTTTCAGAGTGGTCCTAACAAACCACTGGGACCAAGGAGTCACCAACAGTATTGCTTGTTTTCACTGAAATATTATTCTATTGCCAGAGCAAAATTCAGTGAACCAAAGGGAGATAATAAATATTGCCAGACACTTCATTTAATACCATCCATCCTGAGTTAGGGAACAAAGCTGAGCAGCAGTCTTATCTGAGATAACCAAATCATACTCTTCAAGTGTCAACCCTTGCAATCTCATGATAATTTAATCAAATGATGTTATATAAATGCTGAGTTTTGGTAAATTTTTTAAAATTCAATTTAAAACCAAATAGAAACTATTTAACTCTGCAGAAAAGCCTTCCCTAGACGAAAATCAAATGTTCGGTAAATGATAAATTTGAAACCTGCTAACCAAAGGTTGAAGTTTCAAAAGACAAAATTATACGAATATTATAACATATTTCATCTTATAAGTATTCATATTTGTCATTATAATATTTTAAAAGGTGAAGCTAGAAGTTTTGCATATAGTAATTATACTTTTCAAAACTAAAAAAGCCAAAACAACAAAAGGCAAAGTTCTTGTATTACTAGCTTCGGACCAGACACTTGATTTCTCTGATGGTTACCTAAAAATATGCATAATAACAATTTTCCTGCTTATTTCACAAAATTTGGGGTACAAACAAGTAAAATAATATATGTGAAGGACCTGTGGAAATGCAAATTGTTCTGCAAACACATTGCTATTTTTATTTGTCTTGAAATGTGAGAATGCTTATCAGTACAACCACACTCTCCAGAGATATGCATGCACATACATAGATGGGGTCTTATGCTTAACTAAAATTCTTAGAAAGGAGCCACCAAATTATATGTCATAATTATTTTCCATATTTTTCTCTACTATAGTAAGTTTAAATTTGGAGAAGGAGAGGGAATTAAAATTACGAAAATTACAGTAGAAGATTCCAACTGAGTATACTCACACAATTTGAGGATAAGGTCAAGAAAAGACTACTGTCTGAAATTTAATCCTGTAAGAATAAATTAGCCAAAATAAAGAACTTTAATTATCTGTATCATTGACCCACCCTAAGAGACTTTGGACATATTTTGCTGCTAAGAGCAAGGTATATCTCAAATCCAATCGTGCAAACTGGGTAGTGAGAGCTATGTGCTACACGGTGGTTTTGTAATTTGTGTTGCATGAGGTAACAGTGGTTAATTTTATAAAGAAAGTAAATATTTTTTTTTCTAAAATTTTCCAATAATGAGAAGTGAAATCACTTATTTAGATAGAGATATGCTGAGAGCAGAATTTCTTAAAGTATACTAAAACAGAACACCTACATCAGAATATACTCGTAAGATTCCTGGGCCTGTTCTTAAATCACCTAATTGACAGATTCGGATATCAATAGGGAACATGGTTGTTGGGATAATCTTTATTCATCTTTGGCTCAGGAAAGATCCTCCAGATAACCTAACTTAATCTAAAGAACAAATCATAGATCGATGATTTTTCTTCATTTTCCTCATTAGATATTGAAAACATAAGGACATTAAGGAATATTTTTATTTACCCTAGGGAACTGGATGAATTTCCCTTTTACACTCCAGGTCAATGATTTTCTCCAACTTTAGCATGTGTAAGAATAACCTTTCTCTCTCTGCCTCCTGGTCTAACACTACTTAACAACCTTAATTAATATTGCACATCCTTAACTACCCAGAATTCTAGAGAGTAAATTAATTGACAAATGATGTGGAAATTGATTCTGATATGTCTTTTATTGCCAACTTTTCAGCAAGTTCTGCTTACTGAGAACCAAGAGGTAAAAATGTTTTAAAGCAAGTAATTTCAACGACTATTCTCTGTGCAGTTGAAATTTTTGCAGGACAGATGCCAATGTTTTATGAAACAGGAATAATAGAATAGGAAACTAATAGAGAGGAAGCAAAGTTATTTACAGGGTCTTTGAAACATTTTATTTATTTAGCGTTTCCTCTCAAGTTTCAGGTTGAGTGCTTTAAGATTTTAAAACTTAAAAAGAAAAACTTCACTGTTTCTTCAGTCCAGTTTCTTGCTTCATTAAGATTGGCTATGCATTTGAAACCTTAATCAAATATCCAAGACACTGACTGTTCACTTTTTCCTCCCTGAGGGAAATTGCCAAGTTACAGTTACATCCATCCAGTCAAGTTTGCTGCTTACTTTACAAGGGATATGGAAAACATTTAGAGATCCAGGGAAAGGATCATATATGATAGTGGGTATGGGAGTAATTAAATAGTAACTTCTGCTTTTAGTTCCTGGGGCTTCTCTGCCACTGCACAGTGGGATGCCTGTGGGAACCTACTCAGTCATCCTAAGACATATACCTAAGACATATATTACCTCATATGACATAAACATCCCTTAATAAGTGGCAAGCATCCAAATCAGGGCTATATATAATGCTGGATAGGTTGTATTGCACAACTCCAAAGGATGCTGTTAACACAGGGAATGATGTGAACGGAGCCGCTTGGAATAAAGCATCTGGCAACTCTGACCCAAATGTAGTAGCTCCTTTAACTTACCTTTTGTGCTAGATAGATCACAGAACATTCACATGATTATGATGGTAATGACAATGAAACTAAAGATGATAGCCAGAATCTGTGATATATACAACATTTTGATTACCCATATTGTAAAGAAAGAAGGACCAGATGGAAAAAAACTGATTAAGTATCAAAAGCCTTGAGGGACTTCTGCTAATAATCATTTATTTCCATTTCAAAACAGTGGGTGAATGGAATGGAGTTAAATTATTAGAAAAACACAGTTTTAAATTTTTTTCTCAAAAAAGAGGTATGAAATTATGCACAGAAAAAACATGCAAGTAAATAGTGTAATCTAATCTAGGATCAAAATTTTGACTTTGAAATTGTCTCTCTTATTTGTGAATTTATAGCACTATCAGAGTTAAGACATAGGGAAAAGAATACTTTTTATTTTTTTGTAGGTTTTGAAGATTTAAGGTAGTTACTCATAAATAATAGTTTTTTGGTTCATTTGAATAAACAAGTGCAAAGCAAAGTACTAAAACTGGTACAGCAAATCATAAAGCATATCAAATAATGACAAACTTAAGTTAATCACAATAAATGCAAACCTTTTAAAACTTAATTGTTATAAGGAATCTTGATCTATTGGCAATAATAATTTCTGCATTTGATGAAATTCAGTGGCCACTAAGAGTATCTTAAACAAATAATCACATCTCTAGAAATCTATAAAGATTGTTTCCAATCTAGTAAAACATAGTACCAGTTTCTAATTTTCGGTTTCCTTCCCACCCCTAATCTGTAAAGTCCTTCACTGGTAAATTCTATATATGAAAAGAGCCTTCACTTTCCACTGCTTTTAACCTTTAACTAAAACTTAAATTTTTTTTTAATCCTCATGACAATATTTTCAAATACTTCCTTTGAAATAAAAATTGTTCAGGTAACTTTTGTAGAAATCCTTTCTCCTCACCATTCCCACATTTTTATATAATGTAGAATCACTGAATAATTCATCATAAGAGATCATTTTATTTAAATATTGAGAATAATATAAAGTAAAATTATAATGAAAAATATTGATTTGCTACATTAATGAGAGTGATTATGAATTTCATTCCTGAAATAATGATGTCTGTTTTTAACAAAAAACCATTTTATCAATGCTTCCAAGCAATTTCAAAAACTTGTGTTAATGATAGATCATTGCCAAAGGCTCCAAGAACTGAATAATACATTTTTATATTACCCTGCACAATCTATCACATTTTAAAGGCTAATTATTTACTCTAAAATCTGGATCTCGGTCTGTCCATTTACAGCAGAATAACCTTTCCAGATATCACTCTAGAGATCTTATGGGCAAATTAATTTAGAAATGGACCTCAGATGAAACCTGCAACCTCCTCAGGAATGGGAGGAAGTCAAAGTCGGTCTTTATGTCTTCATAACATCCCACTTGAATCCAACCCCACCGAATGCAAGCACTCAACCTTCTCTGGAGTAAATTTCCACACAAAAGTGATGATAAATGCTAAGCTGGTGTTTCAGTAATGACAAACCAGGAATTAAGTTTTGCTCAAATGCTTTGAACACTATAGTCCATCTTCTTTCTTGGCTAAGAAGCAGATATACTGTTTGAGTCATCACGCACTGGAGGAAATGACCACTTATAAGTTAGAAATCTGGCCTGGAGAAGTCATTCTAGTTTCCCAAGCATAATGATCTTGCTATTAATCGATGGCTGTTGAGACAATATCTGAGAAGGTGGAGTGTCTCATGAAGTATGCAGGACTCATCAATAAGAGAGGCCTGCTTTGAACTGGAGAAGCTAGAGGTGTTCTGATGGTGAGTTAGGAATAAGGCTGAGAAGAAGGAAAGCACAATGACTTACCTCTAAGACTTTGGTCAAATTGTTAAATAGGGCTTGGCCAGCACTCACTTTGTATTTGACGCCTCTGACTGTGCCATTTTTGCTTACGATGTTGACTCTTCTTGTACCAAAACACTTCTCACTGGCCGCCCTTGCTAACACCAGCAAGTTATCCTGGTCGTTCTCGTGCTCGTCGCCTTCTGATCCTGTGTGGCCGTTTTGCTGTCGGTCAGAATCACTTAGTCCATCTATCCCACAGATACTGGCACATTCCGAGTCCAGAGAGCCTGAGGGTTGCCCGTCTTCATACACCTCCCTCAGAACTCGCCCACTGTGAGATGACGCGATCCGAAACCGGACTTTCCGTGGCCTGTCACTTTCTGGCTTCATCTCCCTTTTTAGCATGGTCACCTCCACTCACATGAACAGTTTACACCATTCTAGATTCGTTGTTATTGCTCTAGTCCACTCACCGCATAGCAATATCAGAGCTTAATTCTGATGACTGCAGCACTCTTATGAAACTAACATCAAAAGGAAAGAAGGTTCCCAAGAACGTACAGTGCATCTCTGCTGTTAATAATGAATGTGTGTGTGTGTGCTATGGTTACCTTTAAACTAAAACCTGCAAAATGATCCCAGCCTTTAAATATTAAATGTCCATGGTGGACTCTTTAACAGGACAAGCACAAGAAAGTGGCATGCAATGAAACAGAAGATAATATAGGGCAAGAAAATAAAAGGCTTGAACTTTGAAGCCAATGGTCAGTGTTGCAAGGACCTTAGCAGCAGAAGTGACTCTCCAATTCATTGTCTGAAGTAGAGGTCGGAGATAAAATATGGAATCAAGTGTGTTGCATAGAAGGTATCATAGTCTCTCACAGTGCTTATTTCTTCTTTCACTCTCACCAGGCAACCTTTCAAAAGAACAGTAAGTATGCTACATGCCTGTATAGAGCTCTCAATATTAGGTCTTATTAAATCATCAGTTAAACTTCATCTATGTTGTACAAGATGAATTTTCAATTTAAATCTTCATATTCAAGTAGTTTTGCTGAAGAATAGCTTTTGAACAGACTCTGAAAAGAGAGAACTTCTGCCAGAAGAAAACTTTCTCTTTGACAGAGGGAAGGTTTTGGAAAGGAAACATGGAAGAAAGAGGGAAGAATGGAAAATCCTCTAAGCCAGCCAGATCAGCGAAAGCAATCCAGGTGATCAGCGCTGATAAATGTTATATCCAAATCACCCATGCATACAGAAGGCTCCTCCTTATGCTGTGCTCAATGTATTTCCTATCACTTTGGCAAGGACCTGAAGAACGTCTCAAGTTATAAGGTCATATTAAAACGTATGCTATAAGGAGTCCCCAAGCTGTCTGCACCTCCAGAGCAAGGATAAGCAGCTGACCCATACACTGCACTTCAAGTTTCTAATGTTTACACTTTTATATGATTATGAACTTAATTTATATTTATTTTAGAAAATTCAGAAAATAATCAATAGCACAAAATTGAAAAGTCACAAAGAATCTCACTAGAGATGCTAACAATTTTGTGTATTTTCTTCCAGTGTATATGGCAGAGATGCTCCAATGCTCACAAAATTACATTGCCCCATCTCTTGCACTTAAGAGGTTAGGGGACTGGCGCCTGGCTTCTGCCAATGGCATGTGAGCAAAAGTTATTTGTTGTTTATAGACCAAGGCAGTTAAGACTCAGAGTGCCCTGTTCATACTATTTCTCTTCTTTCTTCATCTGCTACCTGGATGACCCCAAAGCAATCTTGAAGCCATATACTGACCTTGTCAGAGTCACAGAGAAATTCACAATCACCACCACCCTGCATTGGATTTGTCATGGGCAAAAAAACAAGCCTTTATTGTGTTAAGCAATGGAGATTGAAATTTAGGGGTTCGTTGTTAGAGCAGCTATCGTTACTGAATCTGACTAATATTCTCTTATGTATAAAATCATATTACATTTATTTAGTATCTGGCTTTTTTTATCCAACATTATATAATGAGTCATTTACTATATCATTATTTCTGAAAAACATAAATTTAATGTGCATTAGAAATCCTTCTAATAACCATACCATCTTTTATTTCACTCTTTCTGTATTGCTATATGTTTAAGTTGTTTAAAATGTTTAGTAAATTAATGCTGTACTGAATATTCTTATTCAAGAATCAGTATAAATATATCAGATTGCTTCTTTAGCATAAATTCCTTTGGGTAAAATTGATGAGGTAACAATTTTTTAGAATTTAAAATTCCTGAGGCTGGCTGGTTAGCTCACTCAGTCAGAGCATGGTGCTGATAACACTAAGATCAAGGGTTCAGATCCCCATACTGGCTAGCCACCAAATAAATAAATTAATTTAATTTAATTCCTGATACAAGTTGCCATTTGCTTTTAAGGCAGGTTGCATAATTTATACTTGTATATGAGTGCCTGTTTTACTGTGTTCTTGCCAATGCCAACACATTTTGCTAAGTTGCAAAGGAGTATTTCATTCATGTTATAGTTTCCCAACTTTGAACACTATTGATAACCTTTATTCTGAATATTTTCTTCATATAGAATTCACATTGAACTAAAGGACAGAGAAAAAGGAGAATCTCTCTCTCACAGTTAATCAAATTGGAAAGTCAAACAATAGAGAATTCTACGTAGTGCCTAGGAAGAGAGAGAGAGGGAAAGTGACAGAGAGACTGATTTATCATCAAAAGGAAATACATCAAATATATCTAAGTAACAATATAAAGTGGCTTTAATTAGTTGAAGTAAAAAAAGTACATAATCAAAGCCTGTAGCAAGAGAACTTAAGTGAGAAAAATACTAATTGGGGAAGAAGAAAAATAATAAATAATTTGTATATCCAAATTTCCAGATCTTTCAGAATATGCAGTACTGAGAAGGGCACTAATTATCTAATCACGAAAAAAAATCAAAATTCCATATTTGTCCCAATTATTCTTTGTTCTGATCTCCCCATTTAATCTTCCTCAGTTCCACCTTTCTAGTCTTTTGAGTTGGAGACAGTGTATTGTAGCATGAGCAAGATTTTGAAGGAACCTAGGTTCAAATCCCAGCACCCCTTAGTGGGAAGATTTTTTTCACCACCCAAATCTTAGGTTTTCCCAGTAGGATAATGGAGACAACTATATCTACCTCAGAGAGCTGTGCTTGCAAAATATCTTTTATATACACACATACATATATATATATATATGTAATCTCTCAGTTGTAGTCATTTAATGTGTTTGTGACAGTATCTACATATGCTATATGTCTTCTAGATTAAAAATAAATAAATAAATAATTTTAACCTAACTGTGTCAAGAGAAAGGCTATACAAGATCACAGTCAATAAATACATTTGAAGGGTAGAGAGAATTCATTAGAATGAAGAAAATTTTTAGAACAAAATAAATATATATGTTGAATATATATATAGTATGTATACATACATATGCACGTGCATACATGTGCATATATAATAATTTAAATGTTGATACTAGTTGAGTCATCTGTCTTTCAAACATAAAGTGAAAGTCCCATAGACTGAAAACTAGCCTCCCACAAGAGTAAGAAAGTATTTGCTAAAGAGAGAAATTATATGCCCTGATGTATAATATGCCCTTGATAATTACAATTCACACACTTATCTTAAGCTAGAATAAAATTAAGCTCTTCTTTTTGATGAATGAATCTTTGCAATTTTTTCATTCATTCAAGCAATGAGTATTCCACAAGTATCTACTGAGAGCCACCCAAGGATAAGAAACAGCAAGACACTATGGTAAACAGAAAGATATGTAAAATATGGCCCATGCCTACTATTGATGACATAATCCTTAAACAAAACAGCTATAATTCACTGCAGTATATTTAAGCACAAATAGAATCCCTTCTTCTTTAAACAATCAAATTTCTAGTCATCTCCAATACATGACATCAAGGCTATTCTTGATATTCTCCATCTTCATTGTATTTAAAATTTGTTCCCAGCTGCTCAGTGTTAATATAGCAACTTCTCACTACTTTGCTTGTCACCTTTCCCCAGTATCAGCTTATTACTCTTCACGTTTTAATCACCTCACCAGGTTAGCCTTCTTCCTTCACCCAAAATTTTCTTCTCTTCCTTCAGATGTACTCATACAATCATTTATTCATTTAACAATATTTATTGAGCATCTACTAAATGTCAGAGAGTTCCCGGGTCTATACAGGTAAACACAGTAGACATGATCCCTGCCTTTAGAGGTGGGCAAATATATAATAAAGAAATAAATATACAATAAAAATTGTGACAATGGTTGCCAAGTGGAAAAAAGTGGATAAAATGAGACATGATAAAACCAGGAAGCAAACTTTAGACCAAACAGCCAAAGTAAGTCTCTCTGAAAAGGATACAGCAAACATGGGTCTATCAAAACTGAAAGAAATTAAGCCTGTGAAAAGTTAAGAGGTAGGTAGAAGTACTTGGAGATAATCTCTTAGCTGCAGTAGCATATGCAAAGGTCCTGAGGCAGAAAACCAGTAGATTTGTTCAAAGAACTAAAAAAAAAGGCAGAGTGGCTGAAGACAAGTTTGACTCCCATGCAACAAAGCTCTTCTCAAAAGAGCACAAGCCCAGCAAGACTTCTCCTTCCTAATCTCATCCTTAATTTACACAACCCCTCAAAACATGAAACAAAAAACTTGTAAGTCATATTAACAATACAGAAATATTTCAAGTATTCATAGGTTCGACAAGAATGGGCATCTATTTATTTAAAATAATAAATTATAAATTACAAAATCTATATAGAGGGTAGAACATTGCATTTATTGAACTAGAACTATTCTGGAACATACTATTAATGATGGATTTAAGGATTAGAAAATACTCCTTCAATTCCCAGTAGAAACAGTAACCTAGCAGCTAGACCTAGGCCTGAATATTTCTTGTTGATGTCAGTTTTTAACTAGAATATCTAATTTTTTTCTTTATTTGTAGGGAAGATATGGCATAAAATATAATTATTCATTTGTTCGTCCTGTCTTCAAAATTTTGCCCCCTAATACTGTTTGGTGTATGATCACCATTGTATGATGAAAAGTAATTTTAATCATATCCCTGGCTTTGGCACATAATTTTTTAAAAGTCCTTGAATCATAATAAATGTATGCAATATGCTTGTATTTGCTGCACTTTATAGCTGTAACATTCACTATTTTGTTTTATGCTCTTGAAAATACTAAAAATCGATCATTGAAAGTGAAACACAAAATCTGCCAGTGGGCAAAGTAATTGTCTTGTTTCCAGCAATACTTGTCACTGGAGAAGCAATAAATGATGACTCATTCCCCACATGCTTTTTTCAGGACTTCTGTTTGGATGGAAAGAACCTATCGAT